CTGATCTTATGCTTCATCTTCTCTCCCATATCCACAACTTCTCACAGTTCCCTCAACTCTGCAATGAAGTTTGTTTAGGCCAGAAGAATGGACCGGTTTAATACCTGTACTTTTACTCGTCTTAAATATCCATTTCTCTTTCATCAATGCTCGCTCAATCCTTTTCAGTTCAAAGATCATTCTGCTTCACTTATTCAATATATAGTGGGTACTGACTATGTACTGGGCACTGAAAATTCAAAGATAAATGTGTTTCCTGAATTTTAAAAAGTTTCCAGCTTATCAGAGAAAACAGATGTACAAACAGATAAATTACAATATTTGGCAATTAGGAGTCAAAATAGCTTATATAATAAAGAAATTATATTGACTTATGTAACTGAAAGGTCCAGAGGTAGGACAGGCTTCAGGCACGGTTTGATTAGGGCTCCATCTCAGGTGTGTCATAAAGTGTCTAACAAATAGCTGACTCTCCAGAGAACAAAGCCTTGATTTGAAGTATTTGCCAATTTCCGTATTGTAAATACTCCCACAGTGGCCTATTTCAAGCTACAACATCAAGTCACTGAACGTAGAATTGGGAAGAGATATGCACAGCCGCCTCTGGCCTGGTGCAGGCTAGCTCCAGCACACCATTGCCACCACGACTTCTCCACAAGTCTCTCAGTTCTTCCATCTCCCATATGGTGGTTTTGTGCTGATGATGCAACCAGCAACTGGGACTAAATACTTTCTCGATAGCGTCTAGTGGAAGGGAACAGGATTCTCTTCCCTTAACCACCAAAAAATTCCTGAGCTGCCCCCAAATAACCACAGTATCCAAGACATGTCACTCCCAACTGGCTTAGCCTTGGGCAACATGTTTAAATACGCCATAGTAACTGCTTCCCAAGGGTCTTCATTTCACCCGCCAAGTGCTCCTTGTTGGAAAGAATTAGTATCAAAAACGCATCATCTAGAAGGCGAGATTATCAGCAAGACAAGAAAATAGCTTGTTCACATTTCTCCATCGTAATGGCTGCCCTAAGCAGATCTTCCCTTCAGGAGTGAGACTGTCATCCCCCGACTGCTGGCAGGGGGCGTGGCTGACGCTTCACAGCTGAGTCCCTCCCCAGGCATTGCCCTGGCTAGAAGGAGCTGCCTGTCGCTCTTGGGAAGAAACTGCCTCTAACGGCTTGTCAATGGGTGGGTACAAAAGCCTGGCATTGCCTCAGTTCAGACATCTGTGAAGGGACATCCCAGCTCCAGAGCTCCCGTGGGGGGTCCAGTGAGCTTTTGCTGGGACGGCAGTTTTTCACTCTGCCGAGTCGGGCTTCCCTCTCTCGTTGCATCATTCCTGTGAGCCTTCCCCACTAAATCTCCTGCGTGCGAATCTCAGTGTCAATTTCCAGGAAACTCCATCTGTAATGCCCGTCCCTGAGCCAGTCACTGGGGTGTTCTAGACAAATCAGAGCTCATCACAGAAGCTGGAGGTGGGGTCAGTCCCACTGACACGCCATGGTTGCCACACCATTGGGGGGAGGGTCAGAATGGAGAGACAACAGCACTGTCTGCTACACAATACAGTATGCTGAGTGATGTCAAAGATGTGTGAACAATGTCACAGTCCAACGACTGGTGCATCGTAGGGGCTGAGAAAGAAAAAAGCAGCCCCTGACACCCGGAAGTAATCACCACTAGACCTCAATAGTGTTACAAGTTGGTCTGATGTTCATCGCCAGGCCATCTTTTTCCCTTGTTGGGCATAAACCATTTCACGGGACACCAACCTCAGACAAGGTTACTCTGAACCATGATGAAATGAAACCAAACAAGGTCACTGCACAACTTCGTCTGTGCAAAGACAAAAACAAGGTCCCTGTGCCACCCACAACACCCAGTCGTAGAACTGCCCTGGCTTTCTGGTGGTTTCCAATCTAGAGTAGATCCTTGATTTCTCAGCTCCTCCCCAAACCATCCAACCAAAGCCCAAATCTTATCATAATTTCCTTCTAACACCCTGTTACTGAGATACCTCCTGGTTCCCCATGGAATACATCCTCCTTCCATCAATGAGTAATAGATAGACCTTCTCTCATTGTTGGTGTGTTCCCAGTGGTCTTTGGCTAAAGGGCATGGACAGCACTGGATAAGCACATGTGGGGTGAATAACTGAGTGTACAGATGAGCCGCCGCCCCTCTTTCAGGGGAGCCTCAACAGAGGAGGCGACCTTTGAGGGGGTTCTTAAAGGAGGATTGGGCTTTTCCAGGCCGAGCAAGGGCAGAGAAAAATCATTTCAGGCAAAGGAAGCCACATGTGCAAAGGTCAGCCATACAAAAATGAAAGGTGAGGAGTCTATGTGGGTGGGGTGTGGGGTCAACTGGGAGGGTGCTGGGGCCAAATGTGGAGATCCTTGTAGGTCCACTCAATCCTGGAGGCAGAGAGAATGGAGAAGTGGGAGGCAAAGACCTGTAAATTTGAAATCTGGTTGAAAGGACGATTCCCTGAGTAGCCATAACTAAATTGTTTTCCTAACCCTTCTTATTCTTTTTTTTTTTTTTTTTTTTGGAGGAGGTGGGGCAAGGGCAGAGGGGAGAGACACTCAGTTTTGTCAAATTACATATTTTGAGTTTTCCCAGTTTTCTCAACCTTAACTTTGAGGCACTCGTCTGACAACACTGAGCGCTTTGCTCCCCGAATATCAAGAACTCTGAGAATGGGGCGGGGAGGGGGTGTGCGATGGTGGAAGTCTCAGTCTGAGTCTAAAAGCCCAAGAACGAGGGGCATCAGTGTCTGATGGCAGGAAAGATGGATGTGCCAGCTCAAACAGAGCAAATTTGCCTTTCCTCCGCCATTTTGTTCTATTCCGGCCCTCAGTGGATTGGAAGATGCCCACCCACATTGGGAAAGGTGATCTTCTTTACTCAGTCTCCTGATTCAAATGCTAATCTCTTCCAGAGACACTTTTACAGACACACCCAGAAAAAATGTTTTACCAGCGATCTGGGCATCCCTTAGCCCAGTCAAACTGACACATAAGATTAACCATCACACCTTGTTAATTGGTTTTATGAGTACTTCATGTTTGTTAATTGCAGGTCTTTTGAAAATAACGTATATCTGATAAAGTTCAAGTAGACTAAAATGCCCCCGGAGTGCTCCCTAGTGTCACTCTAGACTACTATTATAGAGAATTGTGTGTATATTTATGAAAACCATTTTTTCATATTTTTACTACATATTATCAATAAACCATATAAGTATTATTTTGCACTTTTAAATATAAGTAGTATCACAATGTATATCATTTTATGATGTGCTTTTTTCACTCAATATTATGTTTTGAGATCCAGCCTTTTTGTTACTATATGCAAAGCTCTAAGAACAGTGCCAGCAAACACCATGTAAGTATTAACTATTATTATTTTCATTATTATTAATATATGCCTTTAGACCATTCCTTGTAATTACTTTCTAGTAATTGAGCATTGATTATACTACATTTTATTTATCCATTCCCCTATTGGTGGATATTTAGGTTATTTTCAATTTTTTGCAATTATAAACAAGACACCATAGAATTTCCTTGGACGAGTCATGCTCACATGTTCAAGAGTTTGTATTCACTTAAACGTGGATTTGCTGGCTTGTAAGGAGAATGTATTTTAAGTTTTGCTAACTATTGTCAAATTGCTCCCCAAAATGTCTATAACCATTGGTTCTCATAACCAATGTATGAGAATCCCTACTTTGGTATATCTCCACCAACCACTGATTTTTTTAAAATGTGTGGGAACAAAGCAACAATCTTGTTTTAACTTGTATTTTCCTATTCACTAATAAATAAGCTTGGACTTTTATTTTCTACATTTATTGGCCATTTAGATCCTTAAGCTTTTCCAGGGTCCCAAACTACTTTGAGGACCTCCCTCAGAAAAATGTACATATGCACGCACACCACACTTTGTATACACATTGAGGGGCTGCATAGAGCCCCTGAAGACCACCCATGGACCCCTCAGAACAGAGACTCTCAAACTGCTAGGGGCTTCAGAACCCCCTGGGAAGTTTGCTAAAAGGCAGATTCCTAGGACCCATCTTTGGGGATTCTGACTCAGGGTGTCTGGGTAGGGTCTGAAGGGTTGATGCAGATGATAATTTTAAGACAGACAGCTTTAAAGTTTCCTGGATTCCCAATAAGAAATGCTATTTCTGCTTTCCAAGATGTTCCCTTCTCCCATAGCTGTGAAACAAAGGATAAATTCACCCAGTTTGATATGCAAAAGCTGTGACTTGCCTTCACACTGATGCTGTAGCTACTTTTAAATCCAGAGTTGCTGCCGCAGACACACCTTGTGCTTCTCATCAACTTAGCTGGGAGGGTGGGTGAAGGGATGAAGACATAGGATGCCATGTGATGCAAAGAAAGCCACGAGGAAAGGGAAAAATTTAGGAAATTCCAAGTTATGCAGAAAATGCTGCATAAAAAGCATATCCCTACTAAATATGAACAGCTTTTGTTTGGAATGGCTTGAGTTACTAATTTTATTACATGAGCAAGCTCATTTTTTCTCTGCCAGATACTTTAAAGATTCTCTTGTTAAAAGAAGGAAATAAATCTAGTTTTCTCTCAGATCTAAATTCACATAAGTGATTCTGTTGTAAGATGAAGAAAATTGATTGCCTCAACTGGAAATAAGATATTTTCTATTTAAAAACCTATTACTAAGAAAGCCATGCACAAGAGAATGTGCAGAACATTTTGAGAGCAGTTAAGTATCCTTTTGGTATGATGATGATGTTACACAGATACATTTCTCCACTTTCTTTTTCAGGCCTGCAGTTTTCAAGAGAGAGTTAATCCTTGTTTTTAACTAAAGTCACACGCAAACGCGTTCCTCTCTGAGCTTTTCAAAGCCAGCATCCTCTTGAACATTCGGTGTAATTCGGCTCTGTGAATGATGCCAGGAACAAGAATTAGGATCCGGTTCTAGAACTTAGAATGACTCACTGGTTAACTTTGGTCCTGTAACAATAGAAAAATGACTCAGTTGCTCTGTTTGTGAAACTGGGGCAGTGATGCCAGCTGCTTGCCTTGCACAAAGGGATGAAGGAGGGCCAGCCTTATGAGACAATAGAGGCCTCTGGAGTCGGGGCATTACATAGGTGGGGAGGAGGAAGGTGCCAAGAAAGAGCTGGAAGACTGTGGAGGGGGCAACCTGACACAGAACTGAAGGAAGCCTGTGAGTAGGGTGTTGTGTAAGCAAGGGGGAAAACTGAATGAAGTCAACTCCCATCCTTTGTCCTTCTAGAGACTATCTTTCTCCTTTCATGGGTAACTCGTTGGGTTCAGAGTGAAAACTGTCGCCCAGGCTTATTGAAACTTTGTGATGTCTGTTATCTTGCTCATTTGGCCATATAGTACTCCTCATACTACATAGATTTTCCAATCTAGACTGTATGTTTATTAAACACAGGAATTAGGATTGATATAGAGATAAACAATGAGTATATCTGGTAAAATGCCTGGCACTCTCCATATAAATACTGTATGTGTTGAATAAATGAATTCCTACACATAGAGTAAAACAAAACACACACGCGCAAATCAGCATTCTTTTTCTAGGATTCAAGTCACAAAAAAGAGGGTTGGAAGGAGGCCTGGGAAGACACTTCTGCTATCAACTTCATTCCTGCCTGTGTTAATTATGATGTAGATATGAATGCAGTAATAGAGACTGAGTAACCATGACTTACACAAAATAGAAGTTTATTTCTCTCTCATATAATATGGCTGCTCTATAGTGTCACAAAACCCAAGTTTCTTCCACCTCACTTAGGGTATTATTCTCGTCTGCATGGTCCAGGAGGCTCACCACAACATCCGCATCTTGGCTGGTAGAATGGGGAAAGAAAGAAGACTACATCTTTCCTTTCAAGAACACGTCTTTTCTCTTCACAGCCCTTTGCTAGAACTTAGTCATATGACCACACCTAGCTGCAAGGGAGTCTGGGAAATGTAGTCCACATTCTGAGTAGCCATAGGTCCAACTAAAAATCAGGTTTCACTAACAAAAAAGAAGGGTGAAAGAATATTGGGACAACTAGCCATCTCTGTCACACAGCCCAGTATAAAAAAATAAAAGCAAAAAGAGGTGGATTTCCCAGAGTAACTAGAAAAATCCCCAGTGGACTCAAGTAGCTGGCACTAGCTGGTCTCACGAGCGTGCTAATCTACATGCCGTCATCCCAGATGTTCATTCAGGGAAAAGACCATTCTCAGCTTTGTATATTTGCTTTTTAAACAGCCTGCACTTTCATGTAATCTCTGATACCCTTAAATTTCTCTCCTATACCAAATTTGGGTTTTCATACTTCAGCTAAAATTTTGTTTTGGACCTCTAAAAGCCCACTTTGATTCCTGTACATACAAGACTAGAAGATGAAGGCATTTAGTGTGAAATCAGAGATCTGCCTGCATTCAGCTTGGGAAATAAGAATGAAAAGCCAGTGAGTATACCCAGAGCGAGAGTAGGAGAGGTTATGAGGGATCAGACAACCTAATAGTCATAATAATTAAAGTAACCATAAAATAGCTAAACTCTATTGAGGACTTACTGTCTGCCAAGCACTTTACCTGCATCATCTCATTTAGAATACTAAAAGAAAAATAATCAAGGAGGGAGGTACTATTACTATCCCCATTTTCAGCTAAGGAAACTGGGCTTAAGAAAGTTAAGTAACTTGCCCAAGACCACCCACCTACCATTTGCCAGAGCCTGGACTTCAACTCAAGAATCTGACGCTAGTATAGATCCCTTTAACCGCTGAGCACGCTGTCCTGCTGATGGAATAAGGGACTGTGAGCAATGCCCCAGGCATGTGTAGATATCGATCCTGTCAATCACCCATGTGAGAGTATTGGGGTGGGGGACCTAAGCCAGAAAATAATAGTTCCAACCTTCAGTATTTAAGAAGTCATCTTAGAAAATTAATTTAAAGCCTTTGTCCAATGAAGAAATTCAGAAAAAATTAAATATATTAAAAGCTAGTTCTACGTTCAATAATTTTCTTCTGTGATTATTAGCATTCACAAAATGTAAGCTACTCCAGATGTCAGGGTCACACCTCCTTTACATCATTTACTTCTATTGTAACTCATCACGTAATAATTGAAGCCTACCTCATCGGTACAAAGCGAAGTCCAGGAAGGTATATCCTTGGCTTTATTCCCAAATTTGGAACAGAATGAGTGGCCGATAATTATTTATTGAATGAATCAGTGTTTTCCTTCAACATATTCCTTTAGCGTTGTTTGTAATCTATTAGAAATGGTTAATACAAATAATATTATTAGATGTTGCTGTGTTTCAAAATTTGATACCAAGAACTTGCACTATAAAAAGTTTTGCTTAATCCATGTTAACTTGTCACAGGAATTGAATATCCCACTGACTTGTGTGTGTCTGTGTTCCCTGTGGAATTTCATTTCTATTAATAAGTTTGTTTACTGGACTACTTTTTGCCCCCAACACTTTGTGCGGTAGGTTTTAAATTTGACACCAGTGGATACGAAGGAGTCAAGTCATTAAGATAAACTGCTTCAGAACATGGTAATTAAGCACCAAGTAGAATGACCCCAGGACTCATCTGTCCTTAATAAATCCATTCTTGGAGAGAAATTCCACCACCCTAAGACAAATTCCTTCCTCCCCAGGAATTCCAGGTGAAAATTTCAGGATTCTTTTTACCTTGGAATTCTGATTCTTCAACATGTAGGCAGACCAGATTCCTAAAAAATTTACACAGATGCTTAACAGGACAAAAGCCTGTTGAGCACCGAAGGGACTTCTGTTTCCTTGGGATTTTTTAGCAGTTGCTCTCTGAAATGCATTATTTGTTTTCTTGTTTCCTTTTCAGAGCAAGCCCTCTCTCCACATCTCCCTTCTACTCCAGATTTTCAGCTGCAGGATTATAAAGAACTCAGGATTTCCCAGGTGAGAATTGGCCAAGGTCTTAAATAATTCACTACCTTTTATATCTGGTGGGAGCCCTTTGTCTCTCAAAACGCAACCACAACCCCAGCATCTGTGAAGCTGCCTCAAGGGCGCCTCACTGACCCTTCGCTGGAAGAAGACACACAGATGAGCCAGCTGGTTTTCTTCCAAGAACTTTTTTCCCCCAACTTTTTATTTTGAAAATTGTTAAACCTACAGAAAAGTTGAAAGAACAGTTTAATAAAAACCCATAAACCTTTCCTATAAGTTAACCAATTGTTAGCATTTTTCATGTTCCGAAGAATATTTTCTTTCTCTTTATATATCTATATTCTCATGGATACAGATGTACACATTTATATACTTTTTTTACTGAACCATTTGAAAGAAAGCTGCAGAAATCATGCTTCAGTCCTAAATACTTATGCTTCTATCTCCTAAAAAACGAAGATATCCTCCTGCATAGCCACAATACTACTGCCACATCTGAGAAATTTATCATAAATTTAATATTATCTAATATACAGTCCATAATCAAAGTTCTCCAATTGTCCCATAATGTGGTTTATAGTTGAGTTGCTTTTTTTTTTTTTTCACTGAAGAAAGCCATCCATATTCTTCCAAGGTTCAAGCAGTGCATTTGGTTATCATGTATATTTAGTCTCTTTTTATCTAATTTTACCTACTTCCAGCCCTGTCTTTTCTGTTTTGCTTTGTTTTTCAAGTGTTTTGAAGAGTCCAGGGTAGTTGTCTTGTTGAGTGTGCCATATTCTGAGTTAATCTGATTGTTTCCTTGTGATTCAATTCCACTTAAGCAATTTTGGCAAGAACAGTACACTGTGATGCTGTTCCCATGAACTCTGAACAAACTCCAGAGCAAGGATTTTACCAAGGCCTGAGTGATCAGATTCAAAGGAATAAAAAGAAAAAAATGCCATGTTTTAAAAATGAGATTTTACATCCTGCTTTTAACAGAAGGGTGAGATGTTCAAAGCAAAATGAAAGATGGAGTGTCCAAGATTCATGTTCCAGATTATTAATAACTTAGGTATGTTTGAAAGGGGCCCTTGTCATGTCGAATCTAACAACCTTTGTTGAATCATCAGAACAGAGATCTGGGCAGGGTCAGCCTCTGCCCTTGCAAATTGGATAATTGCTAACTTGGTGCAATTTCAGGAATGTGGGAGGCCGCTCTTTCCCTCTCAGCTGCACCGCCTCCATTATGTGAGCCGTGATTCACGTCTACTGTTATTAACCATCAAAGCTCTTTAAGGCATAGCTACTATATGTCAGGCCTCATGCATCGTGCTTCGTTGATCTCTATATTACAACCACCTCATGAGGTAAACATTATAATGCCCATGTTATAGATGGGAAGCGGAGGCTTAGTGATGTAAACTTCCGAAGGGCCCAAGCAGCTTACTTGGGATTTGAATCAAAATCTGCCTCACTAACTAAAATTCTATAATTCCACCTTCCATCTGCTGCTCCTGTATTCCCCAATCTCATCTCATTTACCAGATAGCTTTCTCTTCTTTCTCTAGACCACACACTGCGCTGAGCATCTAAGAGCACCATTCCATGCCAATAAGTCCTTCTAGAAATTATAACTATTTTTGTTTGTGCCATCTCTACTTTGTGGGAGGCACCTTGCTCAGTGTTCTACACATCACATCTCATTTACTCTTTCCAAGAACTACATAAAGAAGGTGTGTATTAATAATGTCCTGTGGTCACTCAGCTAGTAAATGGCAGAGTAGGGATCTGAACGAGATCTGACTACAGGCCTGAGCTTCTAAACAAGATACTTTTCAGCCTGGCTGTAAGAATAACATGGCAACCTTAGACAGTACAGTGGCCCAGAGATTTGCCAGTAGCAATAAAGGCCAAAACGTTGATTCCTTGAGCTCTGAACTTCTCTGCCCCCATGCTGCCGGGAGCACAACCCCAAATGAGACTCCCCAGATCATTCCCCTAATGGGCCATTGACTCATCGGTTCCTGTGAGCAAACCACTGCACAAGACTCCTCCCGCACAGAAAAGATGATAGTCCTCTTGCATTTGGAAAGAACCGGGAGCCAAGATGCCACTCCCAGGAAGAACATGCGCATCCTCTATCTCTATTTGCTATTCCTCCTACACACACTCTTGAAACGATTGAGTCTAATAAAAGAAGATGTTTCCTTGCAGCTAGAGAAAGCAAATCTTCCAAACGAAAGCTCAGAACACAGCCTGACTACGATTGCTATGTTGATAGCAAGGATTTCCCCAACAAACAAATAAACACACCAGCTTAGCCAAATGCATCCAACATGCTCTCCAGCCTCTTTAATGAGCAGGAAGCCCAGAAGGTGAGGAAGGTTGGGTAACTCTAGCAAACACCTCCTGGGGTGCCTGCCCTTCCCATGCGGCCTTCTTTGACAGCAGTGCCTCTCCCGCAGCCCCACCTCCCTGCTACAGCTGATGGGACCAGGAGTAGGTGCCTGTTAGAGCGCCTCTCCTAGAGACTGGAATTCAGGAACTCCCGTTCCTTGTCTTAAGGTTCTTGAACTGAGAAGCAATGAAATGTCAGTCTTGGGTGGCGGCGTGGAAATGGAAGAAAGCAGGCTTACTGAGAGAGACAGACACCAACCCAAGGGGAGTCGTCCTAGCCACAAATCTCAATTTGCCATCAGTGCTACCCCGTGATCCATCTATGCATCCCTGGTATATTTGCTTCCCCATTTCCAAAATGCACATCCCCCCTCTTCAAACACCAGCCCTCCCATGCTCGCCTGCCCTTCACCCCATGTGAGTCCTGGATTGCATTCCCTATTACCTTCTCACAGACTTCACGCTCAAAATTATGGCCCGCTCTGGATTATTCCCATGAACATGCAGTAATTATTGCTCATCTTTTAAAAATTGGAAATCCTCCCTTTTCCATGCATTGTTTCCCAGTCACCACTTCATTTTCTGCTCCTCTTCAAAGCAAAAGGTTATCAGTACTTACAGCCTCCACTTTTTAAAATTTTTACTCTTATATTCTCTCTTCAGTCCACATTAGTCACGCTTCCTTCTCTCTCGCCTCATGAAGAGTGGTCTCGTCAAGGTCACTAATGACCTCTGAGTTTGCCAAACCTAAGGATCCCTCCCCTGGTCTTTTCTCACTTTGGCTGTCTGCAGCATTCAACATAGATGAGCATTACCTCCTTTGCAAGGTTTCCATGGCGTTGCTTTCTCCTGGCTTTCCTTCTACTTCTCTGCCTCCTTCTCCATCAGCTTTCCTGGATCTACCTTCTTCTTTTGTTCTCCAAATATCAAAGGAAAAGAAAGCAAGGCAGGGAAGGAAAGAAAGCAAATACAGTGGTGCATTACAAAGCTGGCTTCCCCTTGGGGTCAGGCGTGATTGATTGCTCCATCTTCCAAGAGGCCACATGAATGACTGCATCTCAGGACTGGCTGTCCAAGGAGAGGAAGAGGGAAGATTTTATCCACTGGTTCCCACTTCCCATTGGACAAAGGTTTCCTCCATGGGACAATAACTCCTCACTTCCTGGTTGCTTCTACACAGGCACTGAGTAGGTCAGCATCAACAGGGAATCCCCAGGATGGAAGATGACAGCCATCTTGGAAACAGGGCCTTGTCAGATTGCATCTACAAAAGTCAGTGGGAACGCACACAGAGCCAGCAACTGACGCAGAGCAAATATGCAGAGGCTCCTGGGTCCAGTGAGTCTGACAGCACCCAAGGTAGCTCCTAAGAGGTGTCTTATACAACATCCCTTTCCTCTCTGCACAACTCCAGACTTGCCCACTGGACATTTCCACATGAATGTCTAATAAGCACATTAAGCTTTAAAAGGTCAAAAGAGAATTTTACCTCCCTTCCCACCGCAACATGCTCCTCCTACAGCTTCCCTTTCTTGGTCAATAGCATCTTAATCCAACTGGTTGCTAAGCTAAAAATCAAAGAGTTATCATTGGACTTTCTCACTTCCTCATCTCATTCCCATCTCATGGACCAGTATGTCCTCTTGGCTCTAGCCACAAAATGCATTCCAAATCCACTCACTTCTCTGTGTCTACACTACAACCAACCTAACCCACCCATCAGCATATCCCAGGTTAACTCTTCTTGATTTAACTGGACCCCCTTTTCTTTACTCCTCCACGATACAATTTCCACACAGCTGCAACCAGAATGAGCCTCTTTTTTTTTCACATTTCATTATAAAAAAATTTCGAACATACGCCAAAGTAGAAACAATAGTAAACCAAACCCCAATTCTATCCAATTACGGCCAATCCTGTTTCACCTCTCTCTCTAATTTTGAGGTAAAGCCCAGACATTATATCATTTGATCTATAAGTGACATAATTTTGCATAAGTTTGCATCTCTTAAAGATACGAACTTTAAAAAAATAACTACGTCAGAGGAAAGAGCCATAAAAATTGCCAACAATTCTTTAAAAACCATAACTACATAACATCACAGAGTGCTCTTTTTTTTCTTTTCTTTTCTTTTTTTTTTTTTCTTGAGGAACGTTAGCCCTGAGCTAACTACTGCCAATCCTCCTGTTTTCGCTGAGGAAGACTGGCCCTGAGCTAACATCCGTGCCCGTCTTCCTCTACTTTATATGTGGGATGCCTACTACAGCATGGCTTTTGCCAAGCGGTGCCATGTCCGCACCCGGGATCCAAACCGGCGAACCCTGGGCCACCGAGAAGCCGAACGTGCTCACTTTGCTGCGCCACCGGGCCAGCCCCTGAGTGCTCTTTTTAAACGGTAAAGCAGGTCACATCACTTCCTTGCTAAAATCTCCCAATGGCTTTCCATCATGCTTTGTATAAACGAGGCCAAACTCCTTATCGATGCCCAGAAGGTCCGATCTCACATGGCCCATGCCTGTGTCTCTGGTCCCACTCCCAACCAGTCTCTCCCTGTCCACTGCACACCAGCCACACTGGCCTTCTTTTTGTTCTGCAAATGCTCCATGCTCATTCCTGCCTGGGAGCC